AGAGAAAATTTTATAAGTATTGTTATTAAAAAACACCATGTAAAACTTGATTTATTGTATACCTATCGATATCAACTACTACAAAATCATCTCAAACATGTTTCGTTGTTGATCCACTGATTTTGTTTTTTTTATTTCCCTTATTTATTTCAAATTATCAAATTATAATTCAAAATGTGAAGTTAAATGATTTGAGGATAATTTTTCGTGTATCATTTGTTAATATTTCAATATAAAAGATTTGAAGTTATATGTTTGGAGGATAAAATATATTGAATTAATTTTAAAATATGACCAATTCGATAGATTGTGTAAGTAATAATGATTAAATGTATAATTATAAAAATTTTATTAACTGCGACGTCAACACTTCCGTTAACTGTTAATGAAACGTAGCTTGATTGAATGCATTTAAATATTTTAGTGACTTGATTAACAAAATTTCAAAAATGGTGGTCAAAATGAAAAAAAACAATAGTTAGGTGGTCATTATTATAGTTTACCTAAAATAGATAATGAAAAATAATATAATAATTTTTTATTTTAACTAATTTACTTTTAAATTTTTAACTAATTTATAATTATACGTTGAGTTCTTAGAATTTTAAATTTTTAAAAATTAAATTAATAGTGTTACTCAACAGAACTCGTCGAACGTTGGAGAATTTTCCTATAAATAAAATTAAGTCAATTTATTTCATATATTATAATTGTTTGTGAATTTAAACATCACATATATTAACTTATTTATTATTTATAATATCATGTTTAAAACTAATATATTTTATCTTATCAAAAATACTTTTTAACAACAATATCAAATGCTAAAAACATTAAACCCAACTTTTTTAAATCAATCTCTAAATTACTTTTTAACAACACTTTCTAAAATCATTTTTTAAAATAATGTCAAATAACCTATAAACGAATCGAACAAACGCAAACGGTGTATGTTCATGTTCGTTCATTTAGCTTTAATCAAACAAACAAATGAACACAAACATAAACGAACAAAAAAAAAGATTCTTGTTCATGTTTGTTCGTTAATAAAGTAGATTGTTTGTGCTCGTTCATGTTTGTTCATTTAAATGATAAACAAACACAAATGAATGAGCATAAATGAATGGATGTAAACGAACATAAACGAACACATTAAACGAACGTAAACAAACATAAATGAACACAATAAACGAACATAAATGAACCTGCACAAACATAAAAAATGAACATAATCAAACACAATAAATGAACGTAAACGAACATAAACAACAACAATATCCACATAAAATTCATTATTCATTAATATAACTTAGAACTCCAGAGTAAAATTATTTGGGTTTTAAATGAGTATGATTTATATTTTCTTTAATTGATTTGAGCTTAAAATTATTTGAGTTTTAAAATATTAATGATTCAATTTTAATATTTTAAATGGGTATGGAGATTGGGCTAGATATAAACGAATAAACATAAACAAACATACATAGACTTAAATGAACGAACATAAACGGATATAAATGAACGAACATAAACAAACGAATTATCGAGTGTTCACGAACGTAAATGAATGAACGAGACCTTTATTCATGTTCGTTTTTTAATTAAACGAACATAAAATCTTGTTCATGTTCGTTCGTTTAATAAAATAAACGAACTTCCTGCCGAACGGTTCACTAACAGTTCGCTGAACGTTCAGTTTGTTTACAGTCCTAATGTCAAATCAATATCTATCCATGCAGAATAGCTTAATGACTTTAAAATATGATTCGTCATTCTTGGGCTGAAGATTCTACTAAAAATGATGTCAACTTTTTTTGACCCAATAAGGCTTTTGGAATAATAGGAGTTTACCCATCCTCCAATTTTAATTAGGAATCTACGACATTTGTTATAGTGTACTCGTCACCTCGAGGTGAAGAGTTCCATAGAATATTATTTTTTTTAATAGACATAGATAAGTGGATCCCATGTGGGCTACTAATTTATTATTTTTAAGCGAACCTGTCACGTCAAGCTGACAAGTTTAATAAAAAAATTATTTTTTGATTATTGAAAAATTTTAAAATTAGAAATTAAAAAAAAGGGTAACCTGTCACCTCGAGGTGATGATTTCCTTCGAATTCAAAAAATTAGCCGTTGGCCAACAGGTAGTTGTACAACGATTAGTTGGCAACGATAACTTGGAACTCGAGGTGGCGAGTTCCACCGAATTTTTGTATTATAGTTGATGGAATTTGAGCTATAAATAGGGGTTTAGGATTTTGATTTTTCATCAAACCCTAAATCCAAAAAACTTGTAAAAATCAGTCTTTCTATGAAAATCCCAAAAAATGGCTTCCCAAGAAGAAATGTTGCGCCTCGACAACGTCCATATTTCGTCAATCGAACTTCGACCGAAAGAAGAAAGTAGTATTCGTCAGCGCGGGATGACTGCGAGAGATCATCATCAGCGGATGTTGATATATCTTCAGTAATCCGATCTTTTCCCAGCCATATTTATACGTGGCTTCTAGGTGTACCCGATTTTGATTTAGGCTCTGATCGAACATTGGCGGCCCTAGACGCACACTTTCCATTTCCCGAGTGGTGAAGCGACAATTACTTTGGAAGACGTCGCTTACCAACTAGGTGTTCCCGTGAATGGAGCCCCCGTGGTAAGGTAGAATAGTTAATACCCCAAGACGTTGGTTTACGAAGTTTTGGGAAAGGTGCCACCATCCAAGTGAATTGATGGCTATCAGGTACAAATGACATGGTTGGAGTCTGAATTCCAAGTGACCAACGACTCAACCGAGGAAGAGTGTTATTTTTGCGTCTCGAGCATATCTTCTCCAACCTATCAAAGGGATATTATTACCAGATAAATCTGATAATTTGGTGTACACTCAATATCTACGAATATTAAATGACTTCGTTAAGTGTCGTAATACTAGTTGGGTTCAACGATTTTATCCTTTTTGTACTGAGAGCTTTGCAAGGTTGCAATTGTTGAGCGGGGTCAAAAAGCCGATGTAGCAGGTTGCCTAATATTGCTACAATCGTGGGCTTGGTATTAGTTCACATTTTTGGTGCCGATTACAATAGCCTCGGTCGAGTTTCTTCTTGGTGAAAGGTAATTTTTTAACTTTGTTTTAAAATTTGAATTAATTTTTTTATCTGTTTTTAATATTTCTTCTATTTTTAAATATTTTAGATGGCGTCATAAAATAACAGAGACGAAGTTGTCAGGTGCCACTGCAAAAGATATACGGATGAGGATCGACATCACCGATTGATATGCGATACATTTGTTCTTTTATTATTTTGTTAAAACTTTTTAAGCTTTATATATATATTAACTTTGATATTTAATATTTACAGTTTTCTTTGCTTCTGTATGTTGATGAAGAGATCTACTGGTTATTGCCATCATAATTTTTTAAGGGGCCTAATTTATGGTGTGTCGTGATGCCATTATTACATTTTGTGATTGTTGAGTGGCACGCTGTTGATAGAGTACTACGGCATATGCATCGCATTAGACGATTCCTACGCAAATCATTGAAATGGACGCGCTCCATAGAATTGATATGCGTGGAAAACATACCGAAAATTGGCAGACGAAGCACGCTTACTACAACGAGCTATGGAATCAGTGACATCTATCGCTCGCCCCGCGGTACGATATTACACAGATGGACCTAGATTTCGACCGTTCTCCCTATCTCTGAAATTACGAAGAAAATGAGAAACCATATCTCACGACACCACAAGATAAGGGAGAATGAGAACAAAATTAGGCCAGATTCCCAAGTCCAAGAAGAAATCATCGGCATCTTCTTCTTCTACTTCAGCATCTACACCTGAAGATTACTATAATGCAACTCAAGCTAGTTTTAGTTTCTATCCTGCATATCATACTTCAACTGAACTCAGCCGACTTGGTTTGAGGGTTCATGGGATACAATGCAAAATAATCAAACATCTTCAACAAAACATGAGGTTGAGGGTAAATGGGATCATATCTTAACGGTGAACAACATAGCCGCCAAATCGATTCAATAATGGCAATAACTGCATTAAATACCATAAGCCCATCATCTTATTTCAAAGGTGGATCTCAGAGTATGTTAAGTACAGCTCATCGAAAAGATGAAAATGAAGACGACGACGACAATCAAGGTCGACGACTCTGGCGTACTCGACGAACCCTTCGCCATTATCATTCGGCCACTCATTGGCATCGTCAAGAACTTAGAAAATATAAATAATTTTTTTACTTTTTAAAAACTATTATTTTAATAAAAATTATTATTATTATTATTTTATTTATTTATGTTTTGAAAAAATTAATCCGGGAAAACACGTCACCTTGACGTGATGAGTTTTATTCTGACCATTGCACAATTGCCCGTTGACCAATGTATACAAAACAATTAGTTTTTTGAATTTGAAGTAACTTGTCACCTCGACGTGATGAGTTACCATTTTTTTTAAATTTCTAATTTTAATTTTTTAATAATCAAAAAATAATTTTTATTAGATTCGTCAGCTCAACGTTACGAGTTCACTTAAAAATAATAAATTAATGACCTACATAGAACCCACTCAGCTGGGTCTATTAAAAACTAATATTCTATAAAATTTATCATCTTGAGGTGACGAGTTCTACCGATACTATAACAAAAGCCGTAGATCCATAATTAAAATTTGAGGATGGGTAAAACCCTTGATTATTATTCCAAAAATCCTATTGGGACAAAAAAGCCGAAAAAGCCCTACATTTTTGCAACTAAAAGCCCAAAATCCTTTTCTGCTGTGCCTATATAAAAATGAGCAACGACCCTCTGTAGTTCCTTAGGGAGGTTATGGGCGAGGGTTTTGGCTTCTGGTGCTGCGGCGATGCTAAGAGTAAGAAAGACGAATGAATAACAACACTGGTAGCGGCCGGAAACATGTAGATGAAACGAATAAGATCTGAGGGGGACCATGATGCCCTATTTTCCCAATATAGTTTTCAATCTGAATTTCCATGGCTGCTCGTGTTTCTCTTCTTCTTATTATTCTTGGCTTTTCCTACATCAGTTCCGCCTTCCCTCAGTGCCTCCTCCCCGGACCTTGTGATGTTTGTTATTGCTCTGAAGGTTCATTTTTCTACATACTCCTGTTTTTCCAATTTCTTTTCATTTTGGTTTAAAGCTTTTTTACTTTTCATAGGTATTTGCTTCAATTTTTAACCAATCATAAATCGGGATAATCTTAGTTTAATTAATCTTTAAACTGCTTTCGTAATTATTGTGGCAGTGCTCAGCTCTTTACATGCTCAAGAACTATACTAAATAACAAAATATTGTCTAAGATTAAATTACGGGTGTTTATCAATTCGACTTACTCATTAATGTTACTTTTCCAACTGTAGTGGCTGTATTGCAAATTTATTTGTTGATATAAAATTTGAAACTCATACAATTGGGTAAAGTTATTGTTATAAAGAACTCAAGTGGCTTCTTGGTTAAAGCTAGGATGTCATCTTTTTTAAGTGGGATTCAATTTATAACACATACAGTTGGGTAAGGTACATCGTAGATAATTGAACTATAATCAAATGATTATTAAAATTAGGTTAAACTACATCAACGATAGGAAGTTTCTCTTTTCACCGTTCAGGCTTTTACTGACGCTTTTGATTTGCAATAAAATTGTCCCCTAGTCATTAACTTCGGTTACTGACTTTATTCACCGTTCAAGTTTCTCTTTTTAATAAAATGGTCACTTAGTCATTAACCTCGGTTATTCTTGTTACAAAAGTTGATTTAGCACGTTTGGGCAATTGAAGTGGCACCGTTTGATCATGTCGGACTACGGTTGACTGACCCTTTTGAGTAAAAAACAAAAATTTGGAAGTGTAAAAAGAATCCTTAATTTCCCAAACCTAATTTTAAAGAAAAAAATACAGATTGAAGAATGCATAAAAATTGGCAAAAATTGTTTGAGGTATCGAATTGTTGCATCTTTTTGTTCGGATCAGTAGGTGATAGATTTGTACCAATAGAAATGAGAAGCCCCTATGGAAAAGGGAGCCCGTCTCGGACTTGTAAGCGGTATCAGGTTCAAGTTCCCTTTCTATGCCTAATATTGCACAAAGGCTTTCTGTTTCTATCTTTGGAACTATATTTGTGAAGCATTATAAGAAACGTTTGAAGAAGTATTCAAGGTTTCCTTTTATATTTCACCCCGATGGCCGAGACTGTCAGTTCAAAAACATAGAAGGAGCCAAGGCATTGGTTTGCGAAACACCGATTACCGAGCATAGAGGATGGCAGCAAATGCACACTTTTATCATCTCATTGCCGCAGGGTTACAAGACATCTGTCGGGGAATGAGGAGTTCTGTTATTTGGCGCGCAAAAGCATCAGATTACCGTTGCGAGAGCCATATATTGAAGGACCCCAAGATCCTTCTGCTTGATGAGGCAACGAGTGTTCTTGATGTGGAATCAGAGTGTGTGGTGCAGGAGACAATTTGATGCAGGAGACTTTTTTGTTGTGGTTGTGAAAAACGGAGTTATCGTTGAGAAGGGTGAACTGGATTGATGAATATTATTGACGGGGTTCATGCTTCCTTGGTATCACATCTCCTGGCCTCTTCAACGTGAGACAACAATTTTTGGAAGAGACTATGCTACAATAACCATCTTGATGAACCAGATTTGCTGAGTAGACTTCAGTTTCTCCCAGCTAAAGGTGTCATCATAGACCATGAAATGTCGATTTGAGGTTGGCTTTTGGAATTATTTTTATCTTTCTTTAGACATCATGAAAGACATTTCCAGGGTTAAAAGATTCAGATAGCCTCTTATGTTTCATAAGAAATTTCAAAAATTTGCTAGAACACCTGATAAACTTCGATGCTATTGTGATTAGGATCAAAATGCACATCATCTGATAAAAGGTAACCTGTTGGGATAACATCTTGATTAAATATTCTTGCTCTACATGTTTACGGCCATCACAATAAATAGCTGCTGCTTTAGGAAGAATGTTTTCGTTGATATTTTCACTGTTTTCAATTTCATGTTCACATTACTCAGTTCCTGATTACCATAAAAATTAAGTACAGTAAGTATAAAGTTTTATCACCAAAATGTATGTTGTTCCAATTGCACATGTACTCATAATCAGGGATTTAAATAGTGTTTGTGGCTGTATTTTTGGTCGTGTCGTATTTATCGTGGTTGTGTACATAATGGATGCCATCATGATCACTGCGGGCATCGCGATCGTTAATTTTTTAAATTTTCGCACACTTATCCTAAAACATAATAATTATAAATATAATTATAAAGAGTTATTTTTAATGATTTTTAAAATGTTTTCTAATTGAAAATTATATATATATATATATATATATAAAATTAATGATGATATTGTGAATACATTATTATTTAAAAGAAATAAGACTATAAACATAGAAAAAAATTCTAAAATGGATAAAGATAAATTTTGCTATAACTATGAGATAAGAGATTCTTTACCGTTTAAAAAATTAATCTATTAAATTACCATTATTATTCACTCACCAAAATCAACATATTATAACTTAAAACTCATAAACTTAAAAATAACCCATCATTTATTTTAAAAAACCCATAACTATTATAACTTTGTAACCCAAGTCCATTTTTAAGATAAGTTTGTAACACATATCTAATTAATTTATTGTGTTGTTTTGGCCCATACCCAAAACATTAAAAGTAAAAAATAGTTGTTTAATTAAAACCTAAGACATAAATATAATAAAAATTATTAAATTCCTAAATCCTTCTTAAAAATAAAGGTTTTTTTTTTGGTTAAAATTCGTCCCTTTTCTTCTTTATTTTTTATGTTCTTAATTTTTTTTCTTGCTATATTGATTCCTACAAAAAATGTCCGAAAAAACTTACTTTGTTGCTAAGTTGGTTTAACGAAAAATAATCGTTATGGTTGCGATCGGCCGTTATCCTTTAAGTTATGGCCGCTATCGATCACTATTGGTGGTGTGATCCCGCGTTACACCGCTATTTTGGAAAATAACGGTAATGGCAGCCGCCGCGATATAGTGGTCACTATTTCGCGACAGCTGCTATTTGAATCCCTGGCCATAATAGGACAATTTAAGTTCAAATAATATGAATAAATTGAGTGATCTTAGTTGTAAAATAGAATATTATTTTCTTTAGAAGATTCGAGTACGAGCAGTTATGTTCATAGGGTGTATATATGTTGTCGCAAATATCCATGTGTGATCAACATATCATGTTCCTCTTTTCTTTGCCCTTTTTCACCTTTTATTGATTTTTTTTTCATTACCAAAAGGGTTTAACAATAACTTAGGGTACGTGTTTGATAGTTGGAAAAATATTTGCCGGAAAATGTTTTCTTCATCTCCTTGTGTTTGATAGATGGGATATATTTTTCAAAAAATATTTTCTAGTGTTTGATAGTTGTAATTGGTTTTATGGAAAATGTTTTTTAGCGTTTGATAGTTGTAATTGATTTTCCCAATATAATTCATTTTCCTAGTTACTTTGTATTTTTTGTAAAATGTTTTACCATCAAAGATATTAAACCCAAAGATATGAAGAAAAACAAAATTTTCTTTTGAGAATGTCCAACATCAAAAGAACTCAGTAACCTTTATAAAATCTCTTTGTTTTTGTCTCACCATATTTTACGAAATGATGAAAGAGTGGTGAACGAACGAAACTATTTAGCAAATTATTTTGCTATATAATTCTGATTATATCAACAAAAAACCTTTTATTAAAGTGGAGATATGACTCTATGTCACTATAGACAAGTAAATAAAAAGACAAATTTTGTGAGGTTGCTTAGTTTGTCCCGATATATTGAAGATAAGGGGCGTATTTGGCCTATTATATAGCAAATGGAAAACAAAATTAGGGTTTTAGGAACATTGAATTTTAATTAGGGATCTACGACATTTGCTATAGTACAAGAGGAACTCGTCACCCATGGGATATTATTTTTTATACATGCATATTATTTTACTTTTTTTTAGAAACTCGTCACATCGAGACAATGAGTTCCTTTAAAATATTATTATATTTTTTGTGCAATAATATACTTAAAATTAGAATTGAAAAAAAAATTGTTTGAACTCGTCACCTCGAGGTGACGAGTTCCGTTGGATTTGAATAGATGGCCATTTTATAGCAGTTGGAACTCGTCTTGTGGGCTTGACGAGTTCCAACAGTCATTTTGAGAAAAATTCATCTATAAATAGGAGTTGGGTTAGTTGATAGAGTTATATGGGAACCGAACCATGCAGTTGTGGGAAGAATATTTCAAGCAATTTTTGAAAAATCATTTTGCGTCTGATTACTCTGATTTTGATGATTCAGATTGAAGCTCATCTCCAGATGAGGAGAGAGTGAAATAGTCAATAAAGTCGATTCTTGATCAACATAAAGAGATGAAAATGAAAGAGGAGGATGGGGAGGAGGAGGAGAAGAAGAAATAGTAGTAGTAGTAGTAGTAGTAGTATGAGAAGAAGAAGAAGAAGAAGAATGAAAACTTAGAAAACGACACAACAAACGACTTATGGAGAGGAAGAAGAAGAGGAAAAATTGTTTATTTTGTTGAAAAAAATGTTTTAAATATATGTATGAATTTGAGTTTAGTTAAATATATGTATGAATTCGAGTTTAGTTAAATATATGGTTATTTATATTGATAAATTATCCAAAACAGGTATAACAGAAAACATTTGAAGCAATAAAAATACGAAGGTTTATCGGCCCGGCCGATATTTTGAAAGATGTGGACATTTCTTCCTAGTGTGGCCTTTACCTCTGTAGTGGCCAAAAAGCTTTGGTAGACCTTTCTCTCATTGTGGATCTTCCATATTAGTATGAATTCGACTAGATTCAGGACAACCCTTTAACTTCCTTCGTAATTGTAGATTGGGCAACTATTACTCAGAAATAGTTGGTGGCCAGTATGCAGCGTTTGGGAGATACTTAATTCACAACTATATATGTAACACATAGTATTCAAGATATAACAATCATTAGCGTATGAGTATGGGTCTACATTGACATGCATACATGAACAACCGCGTGAGTGCATGGGTATCTGAAGGCTTGAAATCGACCACAGTCAC